AACAATCATGTCAAGCTCTTGGAGCTTGTTTCAACCCTTATAGAAATATTTTGCACCTGATAAACATGATATGAAAAAATACCAATAAAAAAATTAATAAATCCAGGGGGTTGCTCAAACATAAACCTCTCTACAAGTTCAAAACCAATTTTTTGAGAAACTAGAGAAATTTTTTAAAAAGGAATCGTACAAATGAGAATATTTTCTTTTATAATCAAAAGTTGGTTTTTTTTAATCCAAAAAATCATCTTTTTAATAAAAAAACAAAGACGCTAAAAATTTTGTTCTTTAAAATTAAACTTTTTTTGGTACTCAAACACTCTTGGTACCGAAGAGTTTAGAGATATAACCCCTATCAATAAAGCTCAATGCTCTTGGGTTATAATCCCATTTAGGTGCATTTTGTGCACGGGTCCGGTCATAGCAATAATCACGCAAAGACCATTCCTATTGTAATAAGTGCAATAGAAAGGGTGCACTTGTTTATATTGACCATTAACTTGTGCACGAGAAACATTTGAAAAAAATAGATGGTCTTTTAAATGCATATTGAAAATGAGAAACTCTTGGCAAATCAAAACAAATTTTGATCAAATGACCAAAACGACCATAAAAGTCACACCTATACACATTAACATGCTTGTGGTGACTATTTGGTGCATGTGTATGTGTGTGAGATAATGAAGCTACTTTGTGAGATGCACATGGAGTAGTATTATTGATAGTAGAGTGTTTATGTGCATCATAGTAAAATTTAGCTAAATGGCTTATTTACGGTCGTAAATAGTGCATTTATAAATTTTTCTATATATGTGTGCATAGTGAGCAGATGATTTAGAATTTTTTACACTAGACTTAACACACATATTCACAAGCTTCTTATGATTATCAATACATTTGGTTACAGTTGATTTTAAAGAAGAAATATGATTGTTCATGTGATTCAACTCTTCATTTTGCACATTTGTATTGATAATAGAAGTAGAACAATCATGATCATTTTTAAAAGAATTAAATTCATTTCTAACTGTTTCTACCTCTAAAATGGCATCATTTTTCTCTTGAGTTATGCTAGCAATATTTAAAGTTAAAGAATCATGATCCAATTTTAATTTATCAATAGTTTCTTTGAGGATCATATTCTCTTTAGCAATGATATCATATTTAGAAGCTAACATATCATGATCGGATTTTAAGTTAACATGCTTGCTCTTTAAATCTATAAAATCATGATGTAATTTCTTGTAGGCATGCATTAATCTCTCATACGCACAAGCAAGTTCATGATTAGAAAGTTCACTTTCGAAATCGGACTCGCATACCTCACTAGGGCTATCGCCTAGTGGTCGTGTACATGATGAAGCTCCATTCTTACTTGAAGTGGAGTCCTTTAGAACATGTAAGATTTCCTTTAAGTTGCCTTGATATGGCTCTATATGTTTCCACAATAAATATGCACAATAAAAAAACAAGTTTATTAGAAGTATATGAGTCAAAAGCATTAATCAAGAATTCTAACACTAACTTGTTCATAGTAAATATATTTTTATCATAATTGCTCCACTTGAATTTCTCCAAAGTGGGCACAACATAGGCAAAATCAATGATTTCCCACAAATCGATATTTTTAGATCTAACAAATATTTTAAATCTAAAACATCATTGAGTATAGGGGAAAGCATTGAATTTAGGAGCAATATTAATATCATAGCCTAAACTAGGTACACCATGCATATCCATAATTATAAATACAAGCAAGATGAAAATAATCTCAAAACTAGATTAGGAATATAGCAAAGCGAGGATCTTTGACTCTAGGCGGTTAAACCTCAAATCAAAGAGCATCAAGCTCTAATACCAAATAAAATTACCCTAGAGGGGGGTGAATAGGGTATATGCTAATATAATCCGATAATAATGTTAAATTAAAACTTATTAATAATATCCTAGCAATTATGATATATAATAAGATATATGAGCAAGGATATGCAATTAAACTAAGGGCGATATAAACATAAGATAATGGCAATATAGAATGTAATAAACAATAAGCACAAATAATATGCCAATGCAAACTCAAACACATAATATGATCACAGAGTTCAGTCACTCCTGACCTACGTCTTCGCTCCCCACTCTCGAGGAGAATCTCCACTATCACAACCACTTTTTAACGTTCACCGAAAATGTTTACAACTCACACAATCAGTTTTCTAGCTCACCAAAAACTTTCACAACTCACACAATTGTAATCACATAATACACCATCTAAGTGTTGGCCTGGCCCATGTTGACTTCCTCAAGTGCTTGGATTTACTACATCTCCCTAGGCTTTACTACTGACGCCACTCCTCTTGGAATCGACACCGTTTCTCACCACATACTCCTCTCGGTGTCCTTGTGTATTAAAATATGATCTCTCAACAAATAAGCTCAAATACAAAGTGTTTTGTTCTCTAACAATATGAGAACTAAGTTAAGCTCACTCTCAATATTGCAACCCCACAACCCAATAATTATATTATATGTGAAAATGCTTAAGCTCAAGGGGGGGGTGTGTAAACAATGAGCAATAATCAAAACTAAACTCAATATGAAATCTAGCTTAATGAAATGGTTAATCAATATATATATAAAGCTATAAATTGAGTTTAGAGAAAACTTCTCTGAAAACAAAAGTGATAGAGAATGAAATTGAAGCCCAACCACGAAAATAATCATCTCATCTTCCTATTGTAAAAACTTCTTCACATAAACACTTGGAAAATACAATTAAACAAATTTAAACCCTTGTAAAATTGTTTTAAAACTTTTCTTAGTTATCTAAAATGTTGAGACTGAAGGGGTATATATAGGATCACAAAACAAACCCCAAAAACAAAGAAAACCCCAACAAAAACGACAAAAACCAAAAAATTGAGAAAACGGGAAATATAGTCGTTGGAACGCCGTCAGTCGACTGATATTGTTCATTAGTCGACTGATGAGCTAACCGTTACAGGCCGCTCACCTATCATCGGTCGACTAATGAACTCATCTGTCAACTGATGACCTGCATCAATCGACTGATGACCTACATCGGTCGACTGATGAATCATCAGTCGACTGAGTAGATAAAAACACACATTCTAGCCACTTTCATCGGTTGACTAATATTTTTAATCAATCGACTGATAACGTGCACAAGCACTGTTCAGATTTAAAAGTTGAGTTTGAAGTGCCTTTAAAAATAGCAAATAAGTTCCAAAAAATATAAAACTTTGGAAAATATTTATAAACATAAAAATGAACATGTTACAAAAAGAATTATTTAAGTTGTATTTCTCATTTGTGAAAACTCATCATTTTGCAAAATCTCAAAAATAAATGTTCATTTAAATTCGTGATTTTGACACTATGATTTTAATCAAGTTTTGAAACTTCTTTTGAAAGGATTAATAGACTTTATAAAAGATGTAAAACGATATAAATGAGTCTTTTAATCCGTAAACATATATTGTGCAAATAAACATGATTTCATTGATTTAAAATTGTTAAAGCTTGATTTTGTTGAAATTATTTCATGCACATACAAACGTGAAACAAATATGTGTGTATATATAATTATATCTATTTGTTTCATATTTATGTGGCTAAACTTGAAGGCAATAAAAACAATGTGTGTATATTATTTGAGCTCTAAGTATAAACACCTAAACTAATATACCCAAGCTAATGATCTCGTGATGCTTGATCTTGGGCAATCCTCCTCTTTGTAGTATGGATGAAGCAATAGGTGTCTTAGACTTGAATGCATCGTGCTCTATTTCAAATTCCTTCCATCCTCTAATGAACATGATCATGTAGGTACAATCCGACCAACCTCCAACTGAGGATCTTTGTGTAGAATATCTAAAAAGCAAATATAAACACTCGACAAATGTTAGTAGAAATTATTTGTTTATCATCAAAACTAGATTAGATGGTAGGCTCATAAACATGAGACCTAACAAGATCTTTACGTCTATCTACCATGCTTAAGAACTATAATCTAGTTACTTCTCCACTGAAGTAAAATATTGACTTGATCATCGGAGGAACAATCGGAGAACCCAACTCCACCCTCTTACGATTTTCTACCTGTGCAACGAAGAACAGTCCACTTTAAAACCAAACATTTAGAGGGTTAGAGGATCTTCGTCAACCAATTAACTTCAATCTTGTTGATTATTTGATATCAGCGATCAACAAAGATAAAATTACATAGGAATTAAAAATAATAATCTCGAAAAAACAATTAAAATCAATAAAAAAATAATACACAAATTAAATGTTGGACGATGCTAGATTAATTACATGATATATTTTTTAAAGATCGAAATAATAATTTGAAGTTCTTATAAAAAATTTGAGACAAAAAAGTGATCAGGGTTCTTGGAAAAAATATGAGACCGGGAAAAAAAATCGGATTTTAGGGATAAATAGATTTTTGGGTTTTTTCACAAAACTGAAATATATATTTTTCTCCATGTATTAAAAAGAAACACCTAAATGAGGGGATTTGATTTTATTTATGATTTGAATTAGTTACTAAAGATATTGCAAAAGATACTCTAATTGATTATAAATTGGTTTAATACACACCCACATACACGTGTGTGTAGTAGTCTTATGTAAACTTAAGTGGATAGGAGAAAGTCATCCACCAATTTTTTTATCCATTGATGTTGTATTGAGATCTGTGAAAGATATGAAGAGTCTTTTTAAGATTTGTGTATCTCTTGATAGCACAAATCTAAAGGCAAGATGAGTGGATAAAAAGTTTGGTGGACAATGCCTCCTATCCACTTAAGTTGACATAAGCTCATATATATATGGGTAAAGTGAATCTAAGGTGACTCCTTAGGCTCCATCTAAGGAAGTGAAATCTCAGCCGTCCATTTATTATTCCTCAAATGGATCTCAGACATCCATTCAAATACTCAAAACACCTAAAAATCCCCAAACAAAAAAACCCTATTTCCCAGAACTCACCCTCCAAAAAACCACGTGCCCCACATCCTCCGTCTCCTCCTCTCTTCCGCCAAACAGATCCAAGATCCCCAACGCTTAAAAAACCAACCACCGCACTCCCCTCCGCCACGCTCCCCTCCTTCGTCGGGCCGACCTTCTCTGATCCCCGCCACAGGTCAGATCCGTCGAGCGCGCCCTCCGCCACGATCCCCTCCGACGACGACACGCCTTGCTGTCCGCCTCTTGGTATAGCAGTTATGTAGCCCATTACAAGGAAGCAGAATGTATGAGAGTGGAAATGGAAGAACTTCTATACTCATATGGCGTTGATGTAGTTTTTAATGGTCATGTAAGCACATTATTACATTTTAGTTTTTTTTTTCAATTGTTGTCTTCAGTTGGCTCTGGTTATTTTCATGGAAGGGATAAGAAAGAAACTAAGAGAGTGAAAGAGGAAAATACTTTTCTAATTTCTCTTTCTCCCTTCCATTTCACTATTTTCAAGTTACCAAAACTTGCATGAACTAGAAGAAAGTTGTAGCTTGAATTTTGCCAAAAACGAAGAGAAGAAGAATCTCAAGTAACCAACAAATTATGTGAAGTTCTGACTTGTTTCTTATTTCCTTGTTTTGACTTGTTTCTTATTTCCTTTCCCCTTCCATGTTGGAATGTAATGGAAGTTTCTTGATGCAACAAAAATCTTACTTGCTGAAGTTTCGCTCCCTGAAAGATTCTTAGTGTTGAGCATGACTAATGCCTTGCTAATAAGAATTATCTCGGAAATATTTATACAAAAACTAGCTTATTTATGTAAAGATAATTAGTCTATGTTCTTCATAAACACAGGTTCATGCCTATGAAAGATCAAATCGGGTCTATAACTACTCCTTAGATCCATGTGCTCCACTTCATATCACAGTTGGAGATGGGGGGAAATCGAGAGAAGATAGATGTTTCTCATGCAGATGATCCTGGCCACTGCCCAGATCGATGGAGTACACGTGACTGGACTGGCAAATTCTGTTCTTTCAACTTCACCACAGGCCCTGCTACTGACAAATTCTACTGGGATCGTCAACCTTACTATAGCGCAAAGCACAGAGCAAAGTTTTGTGCAACTCTCTTGTGTGCACACGATTCAACATTTTTATAAATATTATTATAAAAATTTTCATGGTGGTGGTTGGGTATGCGAATATGTGGATGACAAATGATTCTTGTGTACTTTCATGGTGGTGGTTGTGTATGCGAATATGTGGATGATAAATGATACTTGTGTAGTTTCATTGTGGTTGTTGTGTATGCGAATATATCAATATGTGAAGTTTATGCATCTATAAGATTATGTTGTTTTATTGTGTAGTTTCATTGTGGTTGTTGTGTATGCGAATATGTGAAGTTTATGATTCTTGTTTAGTTGTGTAGTTTCATTATGGTTGTTGTGTATGTGAATATGTGAATATGTGTAGTTTCATTTTGTACCTCTTTAGCATATGTGGTTGTTGTGTATGTGAATACGTGATTATTGTCATATGTTGTGGTTGTGTATGTGAATATGTGAATATGTGTAGTTTTGTACTCTCTTATTCATGTTTTGTACCCACTTATTTAGTTTTTGTACCCACTTATTCAAGTTTTATACCTTGTTGTTCTGGAAAAAAAATTGTACCCTCTTATTCATGTTTTGTACCCACTTATTTTGGTTTTGTACCTGCTTACTCAAATTTTGTACCTCGTTGTTCTGGAAAAAATTTGCACCCACTTATTCACATTTTGCACCTCTTTAACATTATTTTATACCTACTTACTCAAGTTTTATACCTCGTTATTCTAAAAAGAAGTTTTGTACCCACTTATTCATAATTTGTACCTCTTTAACATAATTTTATACCCACTTACTCAAGTTTTATACCTCGTTGTTCTGAAAAAAAGTTTTGTACCCACTTATCCACATTTTGTACCTCTTTAGCATACTTTTATACACACTTACCCAAGTTTTATACCTCGTTGTTCTGAAAAAAAGTTTTGTGCCTAATTATTCACATTTTGTACCTCTTTAACATAATTTTATACCCACTTACTCAGGTTTTATACATCGTCATTCTAGAAAAAAAATTGTACCCTCTTATTCATGTTTTGTACCCACTTACTCAAGTTTTGTACCCACTTGCCCAAATTTTATACCTCGTTGTTCTGAAAAAAGTTTTGTACCCACTTATTCACATTTTGTATGTCGTTAGCATAATTTTATACTCACTTACTCAAGTTTTATACCTTATCGTTCTAGAAAAAATTTGTACCCTCTTATTCATGTTTTATACTCACTTACTCAAGTTTTGTACCCACTTAATCAAGTTTTATATCTCGTTGTTCTGGAAAAACATTTTATACCTCTTTAGCATAATTTTATACCCACTTACTCAAATTTTATACCTCGTCGTTCTGGAAAAAATATTTTGTACCCTCTTATCCATGTTTTGTACACACTTACTCAAGTTTTGTACCCACTTACTCAAGTTTTATACCTAGTTGTTGTAAAAAAAAGTTTTGTACCCACTATTCATATTTTGTACCTATTTAGCATAATTTTATACTCACTTACTCAAGTTTTATACCTCGTTCTTCTAGAAAAAAATTGTACCGTCTTATTCATGTTTTGTACTCATTTACTCAAGTTTTGTACCTCGTTGTTCTGGAAAAAAAAGTTTTGTACTCACTTATTCACATCTTGTACCTCTTTAGCATAATTTTATATTCACTCAAGTTTTGTACCTCATTGTTCTGAAGAAAAAAAGTTTTATACTCACTCATTCACATCTTGTACCTCTTTAGCATAATTTTATACTCACTTACTCAAGTTTTATACCTCGTTGTGCTGAAAAAAAGAATTGCATCCACATATACATAGTTTTTGCTCAAATTATCACATTATAGTGAAGCACATCCATATAACCACATTAACAACTTTGCAAACAAAATGTATACTCTTTTCTAAGAACACATAATTGCATCCATACACTTTTTCAATAACATTCTGAAACACATGATTATTTTTAAAACAAAATGAAACCCACCAAATCCAAATACTACTTTGTTGTGGCCCTCCATTAGCTTTGCTGACCTCCATCTGTAGCATTTTTCATCTACAAAAAAAATAATTGTATCAACACACATGCATCGAAATGAATTATCACATAAAATTAAGATTAAATATAATACCTTAGCCAGAGGACAACTCGTTATGTAATGTCCTTTTCTCTTACAAAATCCATAAAATCTTTGCATCTTCTCTGAAATCCACAAAATCCACAAGATTAATAAAAGCCTAATGCAAACTCATTTTTTACTTTATCTTCTCTAGCATCTTCTCCAATGTCTTCCCAAATGGGAATATATCCGACGTAGAATTAGGATTAGAACTAAAGAGAGCCATTGGGGAAGATGATAGAGAAGATGAACTGGAAATGAGTTTGGGTTTAGATTTTAGTAAACAAATTTGGAAAACATAACTAGTATAAGTTAAAGCAGCCAACGAGTTTATGTTTGTGCGAGAGGGGTATAACTAGCATATCACCAAAAGAAGTTAAAGTAAACAACATATTCCCCCAATTTCAACCAAATTTTACCTAGAGAGACTTATTTTAACATACTAATAAGTTTTCTTGTTTGGGTTTGCTTAGGGTTGGGGGGGTGAGTCTGTGATAAAGTTTAAAGATTTGGGAGGCTAATATTGAAGATTTGTGAGTGAGGCTGAGACCAATTTTAAAGCTTTTGGGGGCTAATATTGAAATGTTGAAGAATTAGGGGGCTAATATCAATATAACCCTTTTAATAATTACAATTAGCTTGTTTAAAACTCTTATTCAAATACATACTAGTAATTGTATAATAAATAAGAGGGTTGTTTTTCCCTTCAATATATTAGTCCCTTTAAATTCATCTTCTCTTATCTTTTAAAAATTTAAAGCCTTCTTTGTCACATACAAACGTTCTAGATATGATTGCATCTTTCTTTCTCGACCAAGATGTATGACATTTGCGAATACCAAATTCCTTAAGTCGGGCATATGTATTGTAGAAATTATAAGCTTCCACATGAGTAGAGAACTTCATACCGATATATGGATCAACAACAATATGTTCGCCATTTTCAACACCAATAGGCTCATCATATCTAGAACCATGCTTGGATGCCTATAAACAAAACTTCTGAAAAAAATACTCAATTCAAGCTTAAAGACAACTTGTTGTAAATGGTGGATATTTTTACTTGAGGCAGAAAACTTGTTCTAGATAGAAGATGATGTTCCTCGCTTTCAATATCGAGGGCTGTAAGATTGTTTTCATCTTCATCGATTGTTGTATCACGTGAGAGAATTGTTGGAGTGCCCATAGCTGAAATGAATTTACATATAAGTTCATATTCATATTTTATATTCCAAAAATTCATATAAGTTTATTGTAGGTTGTCTAAAAATCACAACAGATAGCTGATTCCCCGTTAAACACCGATGATGGAAGTTACAATCTGACGACTTCCAGAAGGCTATAATTTGAAGACTTTCATGTAGATCGATAAATGTTACAATCCGACGACCATCGCAACAACCGATGAAAGCTCTATTTCAACAGCCTTCATAATCAACATCAGGAGTTACAATCTGATGACTCTCATATTTTTAAGAAGCCAAGATGAAGATTACAAGATGACGGTCTTTGCAACGCTCTAGCAAAAGAGACCACAAATTGATGGTCTCTTCACATCAAAACGCAGAGGTCATCTCTGTGTTACATCATCAAAACGCAGAGATCATCCCTGTGTTACAATATCAAAACGCAGAGGTCATGCCCACGTTCCAGAGTCAAAACGCAGAGTCCATCCCCAGCATTCAAGTCCAGATGCAGAGTTCGTGGACTCAAACACAGAGTCCATGCAGAGCCCAACTCTGCGTCTCAGGTCCAAAACACAGAGTTCATGCAGAGCCCAACTCTGCGTCTCACGTCCAAAACGCAGAGTTTATGCAGAGCCCAACTCTGCATCTCAGGTCCAAAACGCGAAGTTCATCTTTGCGTCCCAACTAACTCTGCGTTTTAGATTTACAACATAGTGTGACCTGTGCGTTCAGCCATCAAAATAGGCCTAACTCTGCGTTTTAAGTCTAAAACGCAGAGTTCGGGTCCTGAACGCTATTTTTTAGCGTTTGACTCGTTCAAAGTACGAACTGAAGAATTTCAAAATCGTTTTCCCCATGATTTGGGGAGCTGTTTAAGGGGGTGGTTACACCCCCATTCAGCCACACTTAGGAGTGAATTAAGGGGGCGGTTACACCCCTTAATCCGCTATAAATAAGGGTAAACTCAACTGAGTTCGGATCTTTGGATCTTAGAGTATCTTAGAGATCTAGAGATCGGCTTCTTCGGATCATCTTCGAGCTTCCTGCAACAACAAAGTTCTTGGAGCATTCCCTTGGCTTATAAACCAATTTCGGTTCTCTTTCATAGATTTTTAAACTCGTTCAGAGTTATCAACTTATTAAGAGTTTCAAACTTGCTTTGCAAGTTCTCCACAGCGTCAAATCGTGAGGAGAAGATATCATTCTAGTGAATCAAGATGTTCGGATCGTCAACGGAGAGCAAACTCGACGCGAGCATTCGAGAAAGGCACTCCATCGCCACCGTAAAAAACCCAGAATTAAACAAAGGGGAGAATTCAGATTAATTCTCTTCTCTTTTGTAATCAGAAAATCCAAATTGTAATCAAGATTGAGAGAAATAAACATTCAATTCTTTCATTGTCTTTTTATAAATTTTTCCATCAAACAAAAGATGGCGACTCCGCTGGGGAAGAGCTTCTCTGATGAAGAAGTGATGGTGCAATCTGACGTTCATCTCGCTGGAACGACCATTGAAACTCTGATTATCGAGTTCGATCAAGCCAAGTATGAGGAGTTGCTCTCCTTCGGATCCCTTAGCCCCAAAGCTATGTGCAAGATCCGTAAAGTCTTCAAGGAGACTAAAGCTCCGATTATTGCTTCTATGTCGAAAGAAGCCCTCTCTTTTAGTCAAGATTGCTCGAACAGCCCCTCATCCGAAGGAGTGGGCTCAACTTGTACCAAACGCAGCCCTCGGTGGCACGTTGCACAATCAAAACATAGCCTTCAGGGCTACGTTTTAGAAACTGAACGCAACTCTTAGGAGTGCGTTCCAGAACCTAAAGGCAACTCTCAGGAGTGCATTCCAGAATCAAAATGCAGATTTCAAGACTGCGTTTCATCATAAAAATGCAGACCCTAGGACTACATTTTGTCAGCAAAACATAGATCTCAGGACTACGTTTCACCAGCAACACCTGGAG